ACTGCTCGCAGTTCTTCCAGCTCGGCCATCGGATCAATCAAGACGCGAGACTCAACGTTCAATTCGTGGTGAATTCTGCTGATGTCGGTGCGCATCACGAGACAACGCAGTTCTTCCGTGGTGACTATGAAGGAGGAATCGGTCAGAGACATCATGTCTGGCGCCCGACCACAGAGTACGAGGACCCTGTCTGGGGCTGGCTTATGCTTGACTTTCGTACCATGGGCATCCAAGTCTATAACGCTGCTGGCGAGAGTATGGGTGAAGCCCTGGTGCCGGATAATATCCACGGCAAGGCATACTGGCAGGTTCACTACGCTGAGGGTGACATGTCTGAAGCAGCCAATGAGTCGTCACAGCTTCAACAACTCATGAAGCGCATGTCTGACGCCAAGTTCCTTGTTGGTCTGTGGGCAATGCTTGCTGATGCGTGCCAAAATATTTACAACGACCCTTTGACTGGTGATGCGCAGATGCTCAATATGGTGGGACGGCCACTCGCACTCGTCAATATCGGCATGAACCTTGAGCTTGCTACGCCTGTGATGCAGTCGCAGAGCTATCAAGACTTGTTGAAGAAAGAGGAGATCAAACTCGATGAGTACAAATTTGAGGTCCTTCTTGGCGACAAGTCGAATCTGCGTGATGGACTCATCGGCTACTTTCCTCCATCGCCAGAACCATCTCCACCAGTCGAGCCCGCTCCCATTCCACAGCCCCAAGACCGCGTCACAGACAAAGTCCCCGATATCAATTGCGTCTACACCGAGTTTGGTTATCCAGGACGTAACATCGTCGCGGGTGACAACCAGAAACCAGACTCGTTCGCCTCGCCCAGCTCGAGCAAAGTGTACCTCTCCCCTATGCACGTCGACCCCTCCAAGTGCATCCCTGATCCTTCCAAAGAATACGCCAAAGAATACGACGCAGCTGCAGCTTACCATCGCGGCATCTGGAACCATCCTTCAACGGTTGTCCTCGGAGCAATTGTTGATCCTTATCAACCCGTACATATTGCCACGGGTATTCTGCCATCTACAACACTGAAGCTTCCCCAGTGGATCATTGACCAGACTCTCAAGAAACTACGCATCCTCTTGCGCGGTGGACCTGTCCTCACACGATCAGACCTTCCAGGTATTGACACCAGCCTCGACTCATGGAAGAAGCCTATGAACCAGACCACGGCTGAAGCATGCATTCCCGCCCTAACGGACAAGGGCGAGTGGTCATGGCTACAGCCTAATCTGGCAGCGTATACCTTACCTGGAGATGATGATGAGTACCTACCCCAGTTCGTTCCGTACAACTTAAAGTCAGCGCCTTCAGACTACCCTCTGGAAATGGGTCCGCATACGGTGCTCGAGGGTTTCTACAAGTTCGAGCTATCACAGATGAAGCCAAAGGCGGAGCTGAGGCCTGGCAATCCAGCAGAGGGTGGCGACGCAAAGCAACAAACGGAGATGAAGAAGTAATTGAGCGGTGGAAAGTGAAAGGCGATTGCCTGGTTGCGAACTTCTTCACCTGTACATAAATGTCTGTCTGTCTTTGGGTGCTAGTTCTGTTTGCGTAGTTTCTCTTGATACAATACCACAATGCTTATTCTGAATCTCGCATACATAGCTCTGACTTAACTACTTTAGATCGGGCCATGGGCCAATGCGATCAGACGATAACGACTCCTTACTATTGAACCTGTTCTTCAGAGGTTATTAAATACTGTTTAAATCTGTGTGCCATTGTGGAGCCCGTCACTCTATTTCTCATCGCTTGAGTCCATGCCTCTGAAACCAATTCTGGTGATGCTCCTCCTCCCACCTCTTCTCCGCCCTCCTCAGCGTCGCCGAAGCATCCCAGAAATCCCTCTTCTGTGCCACATCCCTCGCCGTCCTCCCCTTATTATCCTTAATCGTCGGATCCGCCTTCCAATCCCTCAACACCCTAATAACCTCTCTCTTTTCATCATCGCCATCCTCCGCCACACTAGCAGCATAGTGCAACGGCGTACGCCCATCCGTTGTACGAGCGTTAGGATCAGCATGCGCGTCATCAACCAGTAGTTCCACGAGTGCGGCTGAGGCATAGCGCGCTGCAAGGTGCAGGGGTGTGCGACCCCCGTTGGCGCGCGCGTTGGGGTTGGCGGAGGAGTCAAGGAGGAGCATTGCTATGGCGAGGTGGTCGCGCTCGGCGGCGAGGTGGAGGGGTGTGAAGCCGTTTTGATCGCGGGTTGAGGGGGAGGCGTGGCGGAGTGCGGAGTTGCAGGCCTGGATGTCGCCGTTCCATGCTGCATCGAGGAGAATATCTTCAGGGTCTTCTATGGTCGCTGGTGGCCTTGGAGGCTTAGCTTCCACTGGTGTCGGCTGCGCAGGTTTTATGCCTGTGGGTTCTTCTTTCTTCAATGGCACCTCTGTTGGCTCTGCAGCTTCGGCCTTGGGTGACGGTGTTGGAAGATCGGCCACGTCATCGTCAACCTTGAGCTTCACACCACTTGGAGAGCCTGGAGGTGTTTCACCGGTATTCTGTTGAGCCTTAGGTTGACCAGCATCTTTCTCGGGCTGTGTTGGCTTGTCCTCTGGCGTCAAATCCTTCGCAGTCTCAACCTTGGGCTCAGTTGACACATCCGAGGGCGCTGACTTCGCAGCGTCCTCATCGACCGACTTCCGATATCGTCCTACAGGAGGAGGGTCCAAGTCAATTGAGCCCGCCCTGGACTTTGAACTAGGCTGCGCTGCGCTTGACCGTCGTGCATCAGGAGAATTTGAAGATTGCCCGGGAGCTGGTGGTGGTACTGGGTTGTTAAATCCGGGAGGAGCAGGTTTCATTAGAGCACGCCTGGAATAATTGTCAGAAAAGCAGCCGTGCAGGTAAGTTGAGCTATGACTTACGAGTAAATGTTGACCATCAGCTTGCTAAGAGCCGCCAATTGCTTCTCTAGCTCACCATCAGCCAACTTGATCTTCTCTTCCCACTCATCCTTATATTTGTAAGAGTTGTAAAACTCCTCAAGACCACCAAACATAGTCCCTTCTAGCCCATCACTGCTAATCTCTTGAAGCAGCTTCGTCATTTCGTCCAGTGCGGCTGTCGCATTCCTGATCGCTTCATCGATTTGCCTCCGCATGGGCTTCGCATCATCTCCCTCGATGATGTCGGGTCGTGCCTCGAGTGTATTCTGGATCTGGGTGATGGTGTCTCTTGCCGTTGTCGCCTTAGCGGATAGTTCATGGATCTCCTCGGGAGTCTTTTGGAGCTTCATGAACCAGTCTGTCCACTCTTTGGCAGTATCGGCATGCTTACCCAGCGCTTCGATACCAGCGTAGGCAGCGACGGCTTGGGGGAAATGTTTCATAAAGTCAAAGCCCTTCTTCTTTGGCTCATTCTCAGTCGGCTTCCCGGCTGGCTTTCCGGCTGGCTTTGCCTCTTGTTGCTCTGGAGATTTGGCAGAGTGCCTTCGAGAGGACGGCTGTGAGTTCCCAGCACCGGAATAGCTGGGTCTCCTGCCTGTCGCCGAATTATGCGTTTCTTGAGGACGAAGTGGCGAGTCTCCTCTTGATCGAGGTCGTCCTCGTAGCATGTCTGCTGCTAAATGAGGTGCTGGTCTATACACTGACGGAGGCGATCTCTTTCCCGCCCCGGGCGGACGTCTTGGTGAAGGCGGTGGCTCATGGGACGGACGTCTTCTTGGATCAGGTCGTGAGCTGTCCGTCGGGTAAGACCTCATTGGCGGACGAGCGACCACAGGCTTTGCAGAGGGCGGAAATGGTGGTGCTTCAGTTCCATAAGGTCGTGGCTTTTGATGTCGTTCTGGAGTCGGAGATCTACGACGAGATGTAGGCCGACTCTCATCCTCCGACATCCAGTCCGAATCTCTGGTCATGCGCCGTCTCAGCGCTCGTTGTACAGGCGCAGGAGGAGGTGGTCTCGCTTGAGGCGACACAGACCTGAAGCCCGAGTCCCTACGCCTTGGTCGATCATAGTAGGATTGTCTCGGGCTTGATGAAGGTGGATATCGCGGTCGCCGACTTTCAGCCTCATAAGATCTTGATCTTTGTGCAGCGCCTACTCCTGGTGGAGGTCTCAACGGTCCCTCATTTTTTATTGTTGGTGGCGGATGACTTGGCGGGGGTCTCGAGTAAGACGCGCTCGGCGTTCTTAGAGGCGGTCTTTTCGGCGCTGGCGCTGGCGCGGGCTGAGGTCTCGGCCGGGTAGATGACCTCAACGATGGAGCTTTCTTTGGCATTTTGCTCACAATCAATGTACCAAATCTCACTTGCACTTTGCAAATATCGCTCAGGTACAGGCCTCCTCTTAAGGAGAGGCAGATAAGCTAGTGACGGGTAATTCGCAAGATAAAACAGGCCCCAGGGACCGGCATGACGCCATGGCATGCATGTCACAGGCCCTATAGAAATCCGGGGCATCGAATTAATTGGTTCTGTAACGAGGGACCGGGTGAGCAGTGTGACGTGTCTGCTGATCCACCCTAGACCGGGGGATGATCAGAGACCCTTTTTGAGCGGGCCGTGACGGGGACCAAGAAAGACGGACTGGGGATCGATGTACAATTATATCATGCTATTCCTCACGTGAATATGGTTGGATTATTTGTCTGTAGATATTTGAGCAAGCATGTCGTAGGGCCTTGATATCGAGATCTTGCAGATGCAGTGCAACTCTTGATGTAACAAGCAAATCTGGATACGTCTGTGGCTGTGTTTGCTTGCCTGTCGCATGATGGATGGCCTCATTCAAAATGGGTTTGTTGCCTGCCGCTGGGCTATGTCACATGATGCGCGAGTTAAAACTGTATGATCGATGCCTAATCCCGGTGAGATCAAGTTGGTAGTGTAGGACGATTGTCAGCTGCCAAGATCACAATCCCAGTACACAAATAGACTTATTCTAGGCAGGAGATCGTCTGAGGCATATTTTCGCAAAAGTGTAACAATGGTGGAGAATTTATTCTATGATATGCACTATAATTAGTATTGAGAGTCCTATCAGGTAGATAGAGGAGAATCTGAGTATGGTGGTGGACTCATCCGTGCCCATACACCCAGCAAGTCAGCCCTAAAAGCTGCTGCAACAGGAAATGTCCTCTCAACCACCAACAGATTCTGCATGATACAATCCTGCTGCCAACCTTGCCAAGACCGTGCACCCGCAACTCGCAGTGGAAAAAGTACCAGTAACGAAGAGATGGAAGAATTATACAGAACAATATTTGTATGAGTCAATATGTTGACGACATGCATTTGTATCTCTTCTTCGCTCAAGTTGGGCGCCACAATCCCTTTGTCCTGCCAATATGGAATTTCATAGTCGAAAACTCCGGAGAGGTAGATACTTGTAGCAGAGAAGAATGCCTTGGTCAAGGATGAGAAGCCCCCACTCACATTCTCAGCAGACTGTTGTTTTGAAGGTCCGTCTTTGGCTTCCCAGTCGACGAGAGATTGTCTTTGACGAAACCCTTCTTGAGCAACAGCAAAAGCTTCGTCAAGATGTGTCGTGACATCAACAGAATCTGCGTCCGAGTGATACAGCAGGTTTATCGCCCTAAGATAAATCATTAAAAACCGTGCTTCATAGAAGAAGGGATTACCTACCGAACACGAAGAGTTGAGCATGAGACGATGATATCCAAAAGTTCATCCAAAGAGTCACTATCGCCTTGCTCTTTGGTCCTAATCTCGCGTGTGAGACATCTCCAGTCTGGTTTTGCAAGAAACGTTGGCTCATTGAAAATTATAGCCCGGCAGACTTCAAAGATTCGTATTTCGGTGAAAAAGCGTTGTCCATGACCTGATTTGCATGATGTTGGGCCTGCAGCGACAAGTGCTTTGGAAGTGCCGTGAACCAAGTGTTGTATCCATCCTTCGCCGGTTGCATCAGTCATGAGCTTCAACATGTTAGCTTAGTCCCCGTAAAGTGATCTCAAAAACTGCTTACCTCGAACAGACCAAGCAGGTGTGTAGTCCACAAGATGCGATGCCGGGCGCTAGGTTCCTGATCAAACTTCTCAAGAGCGTTTCTCAAGCCGAAAACAGACTTTGAGTAGTGATGAACAGCCAAGTTGTAAGTTTTGCTTGGATCAACACCTTCTGATGCGTTCAGCTTAACAGCTTGCATCGCTCCCAACGAAAGAACAGCATCGTGAAGAAATGTCCCCGATCCTTGGTCTTTCATCAAACCTATCACATCAGTGAAGATTTCCGTTTTCGGATTGCAGCTGTTCCGCCGTAGGAAAGTGTCGAAGTAGTGAGAAAGATAGTAGATCTGATCCCCTGTAGGGTTAATATCCAGCCGGGGAGACTGATTTTTGCAGGTAGCAGCTGGAACCCGAGCCACGGTCTTTTTACCCGACTCGTCCTGATTGATCCAGATCTGCTTAGGTTTCTGCTTGTCAAAAGCACACTCAACCCTCCTTCTCACACAATTGCTGCACGGAACACTTCCAGAACACTGCATCACAAGGATCAGCCATGTACGATGACGAATGTCTCGGTACTTACCCTGAGATGGCTTGCAGCACATGCAAGGCACCGCGATCGCTTCTTTCGTCCATCGAATGGTCCAACCGGCATCTTCTCTTTACGCACTCGTTACGTTGATGCAGTTGGTGACTCGACAAGGGGAGAGGCTGGGTTTATACTCAAAGTGGTATCGATTGAGCGAGATGAGCTTGGCATGTCGCGATACCCTTTTTGGAAATAATTGAGCGACGCTAGTGCCCTGAACCAATCATGTTGCTAGCTTAGCGGGGAGCTGAACTTCAACTTTCGTCAGCGAGTAAGCTCAGGCAGAAAACGGTTCTTGGCAAATGATGCTTTTATGTCAAATCGCCTGAACTTAACTGCTTTGAGTATGGTAGAGGCTGTGTTTCTGGAATGATTATGGAAGATCCCACGAGTTTGGGTTTGCGCTTTACCGATAATGTAACGAATCCTGCGAGCTTAGACATCTAGTACCAGAACTCCGATGCTACTTCATGATGGATATCTTTTCTGCTGATTATAAGATGCCTTTCCATCCCTCTCATTGCAATTTCTCTCAACGACATCACTGACAATCCAAGCTCAAATTGCCTTCTTTCATTCACTACAACCAAGTTATTTACTCAACAACTTCACTATGCAGCTCTCTCTTCTCTTTCTCTCCCTTGTCGGGGCTGGCAATGCCATCCTTCTCCCCAAGCCAAGCGGTCCATACGGCACTGCCCTTCGCATCGAAGGCATGACCGACAAAAGCCGCATCGACCCCTACGACCCTAAGAAAGGTCATCGACAAGTCCTGGCCTCAATTTTCTGGCCCGTCGACTCAGCATCTTGCTCAAACAAGGTCGTCCCATACATGCCCCCTGCTACAGCCAAAGCATACGGACAGCAGGTAGCACAGTTGGGTCTATCGAACGATACCTTTTCCGCTCTGGAGTTCCAGGTCTGCAAGACTCCTATTCCACAAAAGGGATGTGAGACGGAAAAGAAGTCGTTTCCTGTTGCTGTCTTCTCGCCTGGTGCTGGCAACTCGAGGTTGATTTACAGCCTCATGGCTCGCTCGCTGGCTAGTTATGGAAACGTTGTGGTTCTGATTGATCATCCTTACGATCCTCCTGTTGTTGAGTTTCCTGACGGAAAGATCATTAAGGGAGGAAACATCCCCGACGACCCGAAGTCCAATCAGCAACTGGCTTCGGTGTGTATACCTCTATCGTCTCGTGTCGCACAATGTACTTACTAACTATTCATAGGTCAAGGCAAAGGACATGTCCTTCACCATCTCAGAACTTCTCCGTCCCTCTTTCCAAAAGAAGGTCTTCAAGGGTCTTCCAGGCTCAATCGACAATAAGAAGATCGTTGCCCTTGGCCACTCCCTCGGCGGTGCCAGTGCGGCTATAGCAATGCTATCAGACAACAGAATTCGCGGCGGAATGGATTTGGACGGTCAGATCTTCGAGCCAGCTCTCAGCAAAGGCCTCGACAAACCATTCTTCCTTATCGGTCGCCCTAAGCATAGCGAGGAAGACACCACCTGGAAGACGTTCTACCACAAGCTCCGAGGACCCAAGAAGGAGATTGCTGTCAAGGACACTGTTCACGGATCGTTCACTGATTACCCTCAAGTCCTCAAGGCTCTCGGTCTGCCAGAAGCTCTTATGAAGGCCATAGAGCAACAAGTTGGAACTGCAGAGCCTTCATATCTTCAGAAGTTCCTTTCCAAGACTGTTGTGGATTACATGAAGCTTTCTTTTGCTTTTAAGGGCAAGAACTAGATACATCCTCGATTGCCTTGCTTCATAGGACAGATACATGATCAGGGTATAGTGTCACGGATCCGACTCTCATATCGCTTGTATAACTTTCATGCCATTGTGCATCTTTAATTATAGACTTTAGAGACACGATTATAAAATTGAAATTTAGTATTCGCCACTCATCGTATCCGCATCGTGCATGGGCTTTGTGCAACCCTTGCCTGAGTCTTGAATCTGGGGACTTTAAGACCCGAAGCATTGATTGACTTTAAAGGCAATTCGGGTCAGGTCAAGCCTATGCTATTATGGCACGATCAGAATATTTCAAAGTCTTTTTAGCGGCGCTACTATCCTTAGTATTGGCTCGAGGGCTCAACATCGTCATCTGACGAGTTCATTTGTCCAAGCAGTGAAGTCACGTTCTGATATGGTGGTTAGTGCAGATAATAACTCCACGACAGCCTTTTGATCCAATCGAATGAATCCTTATGTGTAAGCATCCTTGGGGAACATTTTAAAAGTGATGTTCGAGCAGTTCTTTCTAGGTCCGTGAAGAGAGTTGGGAACAAAAGTGTCAACGCTATAACTAATAAGTGCCAGGCTAGGATCCGTCATACCATGATCTATCTGTCAGGACTGAGGGACTCTTAGCTGCGCCATCGTCATTACTCTTGGCATTGAGGCACCATATTTTGCTTAAAAATGTCAGCGAAGAGTCTTACTATAGTTGGGCTTCTTTCGCTTTCCAGTTCCACTGAATATCAATGACTTCCAAATTATTCCTTCGACACTAATATATCGGTACTGGTGGCCTTGTTCGAGACTGTTTCTTTGGCCTAAAAAAGAACATACATAGATTTCTGGTCGATTGACCGAAAGGTGAAAGTTTTTTGATAGCTTCTGAAGATAGAATCACGACATCGTATAAATCGGATCTATAGTGACGGCAATCAATATATTCAGTCAGCCTTTCTGCCTTACATCCCCCAAATACCGAAATATTTAGTAAGGCCACTTGAAAGAAGTAGAAATATTAACAGAAAAGGGTTCCGCATCCGTGAGTGACTTCACCCGTCCAAGCATATGCTCCAGCTGTCTAAATGCAGCAGGCGGCGCATACTGCGGAACCATGTGCCCACTAGTCTTGACCGTCGCCAACGTGAATCCTCTCTCTGAGTGGACCGATCCCTGAACACTACCACCCGCCCAGTTCTCAACATTGCTCTCAGTGTTGTTGATAATCGGAACAACAAACTCTGCACTCGGCGCAGTCTGGAAACCCTGTTTGCCGTTCCACTTGAGACCCTGGACGGCTAGGGCTGTTGTGTTGGAAGTGATGATATAATCAGCCATACCGGATCCGATCATGACGTTGTTGGTCTTTTCAACGAGAGTTTGGAACTTCTTCTCGTGCTCGGCGGGGTCATATCTGTCATCATCGCCCACAAAGACTGGGCCTGAGCACGATGCCCACTCCTTGGGGTTAGCTGGGGCGTGGATTGCCTTGCGGACACCGGGGATATTGAAGAAGAGTGTTGCGCCGGGAGGAGTGTACTGAACAGAGGGGAAACCGAGTATATCCCAAAGAACCGGGCAGGTATCTTGGACGTGGTAAACGTTGAAGCAAGGATTGATGACAGTGTTGACCTCTTCGAAATGAGCCGTGATATCGCATCCCTTCACCTGAACAGGCTTCCAAGGCGCCGGAGGAGGAGGATATGTAAGATGAGCCTCACGATACTTATCCAATCCACATTTCTCATTATCGTTATCAAGAATCTTCTTGTTTTTGTCCGGGATCGCAAAGACACTCTCCCAATGCCTGAAAAAGCCTGGGAAAGCAGCATGGTCAAGGCGTAGCTTATCAGCATACGGCATGACAGGATCGTAGTACAGAGCGCCCTTGACGTTATAGTACTTCGTATCCTTCTTGTCGAGCATGGCAGCGCCGACGTAGGGAACATAGACACCGGCGTAGCTTTCACCGGTAACGTAGAGCTTTTTGCCTTGAAGGCCAAAAGTATCGACGAGGTTCTTCCACCATTCGACGAATTGGGCTGCTGTTTCGGTGTTGTTCTTTGCTGTTACGTGGCCGGTTGAGAAGCCAGTGCCAATGGGATATTCAACCCTGAATCATTGTCAGTTGGCCATTATACTGTCGTGAATGGTAAGATCCTACCAGATGACGTTGGCGAGTTTGTGCCATGACCAGGCATTTGGCACAGGCTTGTAAGTTCCATATTTCCACGAGAACGGGCCATTCTCTTGTGTAAGACCTAATAATCGCGTCAGTAATGAAAGAATCAAAAATGTGTATCAAAATACCTTCTAGAGAGGAACAGCCTGGTCCTCCATTGAACCAAATCACGACATCATCCTTTCCAGCTGGGTTGACAGTCGGGAAGAACCAATAGAAGAATTTGGGATCTTTGGAACCAGTCTTTTTCCAGTCAACAGGGATTTGACCAGCATAGCTTTCACCGATGTCAAATGAGACTTCCGGAATTCCAGTAGATGGGACATAATAAGCTGGTAAAGTTTAGTTCCATGCATCAAGTTTATCGCGTTATTAACTCACGAGAAGTCTTCTTATTGTAGTACTGAGCATGCGCAGGCTTGGATGTACGAGGATGAATAACCGAAGCATTCGTCAAGGCAACAAAGCCCAAGACTGACAAAAGGGCAGTTTTCAAACCCATATTGACGTGCAAGAATCCTTTACAGTTGATAGAAAGACTGGTACTGCCGGACAAGACAGGCAGCACAGTTGATATTTATACGAGCGTCATACATACTTGTAGTAATAATTCCCCGTAACATAGCCCGACGATCAGAGGAACTTTTGCCAAGATAAAGTCCTACTCAACAGGGTACACAACATAGTAAACAAGCCTGCACGGAAGTTCGGCATGAACACTTATCTGTGCCTTCCTAATGCAGCTATTTGCGGGGTTCGTGATATCAGCATCGTGGTACGATAAGCTGTTCGTGTCGATCGCTAGGCGGGAGGATCCCATTGGCTGGGCCGTTTGACAAAAGTTCGATGGAGGGCGATTGACCAATTGATTGAGGGAGAGGGTTCGCTTAGGCTTGTGAGACAAGAAGCTTGTTCTTGGGAGAGGTTGGAGAATGACACTTCGGTGTGCGATAGACTTTGGAGAATCGGATGTTCAGAACGTCAGACCGAGTGTAGAATAGCGTTGCATTCCGGTAGAAACTTAAGAAAAGCCGTTGGGAAACTATTCATGGGTTGTGACGAACTACCCGTCATCAAGAGTGCTCGGCTAGAGTGTTTTGGTTTCTATTCTTGCCAACTCGTAGCTTTGTTATGAAACCCTATCTTGTTAAGCAAGAAGCCAAGGCCTTAGCTACTGAAGGAACTTATATACTGATAAGTATTCCTCTGTGATCATCCTCTAGTCCCTTCTCTTGTATATATCGGTATATCTCACCATGTACCTATCTTATATGTCTAGCATAGATAAATATGCTCCTGATCCTTCTGTCCTTGTTGTCTATGCTGATGTATGTTGAATATCAAGCTTATATATGCAAACACCAAGACCTTATATATCCCAGGTCACCAACCCAACCAAAACTCCCGTAATTCAACCAAGACATCATGACCGACTCATCTCCTCACGGAGTTGTTTCTGAAACTCAAACTTCCTCTCCCTCCTATCATTCTCTCTCCTCCTAAACTCATCCCTCCTCCTCCTCTCCCCAAGGGTACTCCTCAAACTTGAATCAGGACTCTCCCAATCAAGCGGCACCTCCTGAAAAATAATCGGCGTCCAAACCGGCAGAAGTCTCATCCCAATTTCACTCTCCGAAGGCGGAAGTATCTTCCACGTCTCATCTGTCTGAATATCTCGCCGTTCAACAGGTATAAACGCCGCTGGCTCAGGTGGATTTAACTTTAAATACGATACTTTTCTATCGCGATCGGAGCGCCATTCTCGATATTCAATCTCTGCATGCGCAGCCTGTTCGTCGCTTAATTCAAGAACAAATGCTTCTTCTTGTTCTAGAAGAGGCGGTTGTGACTGCGTCGCGTATTTCGGCTCCCATTCTCGAAGCTTGGTGTGGCATTTTTCCAGCGCTGACCAATGCCTCTCAAGAGCTTTCGCGCGGGCGTGAATATCGTGAGGTTCGTCGGGAATAGGCGCCCTTCGTCCACCTCTTCTCGCAATAGCACCAATCGTATCCTTTATGTCCGTCTCCCTGAGAACCAGCCACGTTAAATCACGTCTCGTTTCCAAACTGCGCAGTAATTTCGAGCAAAAGTGATAGTCATCACCCGGCAACGACGTAGGAACAAGAGTGTCGCGAAGAACACGATCGATGTACCGCACTTCGCACAGCGTGTTCTCAAGCCTCGCGTCTTTGGGGATGTCTCTAAAGGGGTTGCAGCGCTCGAGAAAAGCTCTCCCCACTCGGGCGTTGGAGTCGCTGAGGGGTTTAAGGTTGATTATCCCGGTGATTGGGGGGTTGCGGGCCTTGAAGGCGTTGAGGAAGCCTCGAATTGCACTCATGATGCATTTTGTGGCCGGGTTCAAAAGAGGGAATGATGTTTTGAGGCACAGGGTGAAAATTGAGACTGGGAAAATTCTCGTTTTTAAAACCCCCAAAGTTGAGAAAAGCTGGGCGCTGCGAGTGATCCTTGTCCCTCCCGTGTTGCTCCGCTTGACCGTCTCACTGTGAGGCCTTTCACTAACATTCGGACAATGCCGCGTGCTTTGACCAGTCCAGCACGACAAATAGAAGCGGTGTATTCAAAGTTTTCACCATTAGCAAGGACACTTATTATATCCAGTTTCTCTTCCTACAATGTTTCAAAACCGCAATGTTCTGTGCAAAAGTCTCAACTCCAACATCTCAAAATCTTCAGTGATCGGCGTCACATGTAACCAATTCTGTCCTCTCACCCGCGGGAACCTACCCCAAGCGAATCAAGTTCATCGCCACCGCGCCCGATTCTCCTCTTCGTACAAATCATATGAATACCCGTTCCATTCATCCTGCAGAGTGCGAGCATCAATGCTACTGCGCGTTCCTTGACCAGGCAGTCGACGAGCCTGGAATGAGAGAGACTGGTGGTTCAACCAACCCTCAATGCGACCGTCGCCAAGAAACTCCATCCAACCTTCGTTGCGGTCCCCGTACATTATAGGTCCCTGATCTTCACGACCCCGCCATTTGAACCAGACGCGATCATGCGATGAGCGCATGGGACGTTCTTCAAAGAGGAGTACGCCTTTGTAGACGCCGAGGTCAAATTTTCCCCAGAGTCTGTTGCCAGAAATTGTGAGGGTCAATTGGAACTCGTCAGGATCAAAATCCCATTGCTCGCTCACATCGAGCGATTCAACTTCGTAGTCGCCATTTAAAAGACCCAAAGGTGCAAGACTGACCTCGCCGACGTCATCGCTGCCGTTGTTCTCATCCGAGGAGTAATCTTGATCTGGAAATTCCGAGTATGGGGGTGGAGCATCATCGTAGCCGGACGGAGCGGGTAATCGTCCCCGGGCCGCAAAAGCGCCGCCACGTCGAGCAGTCTGAGGCTTTGCGAATCTGGGAGCTTCGGGAGACGGGTCTCTTGCTGTCGGGCGGCTTGGACCAGTTGACCGTCGCGATCCGTTTCCTCGGGGTGCAGTCTGCTTAGTTCGAGGCTGTTTTGCTGGCTCTGTTACAGCAGTGCTTGCGCCTCTGCCAGGGCCTTGGGATGCACCACCTCTGACACAGCGCGCAGTCTGGGGCTTTCGCGCTGGTGTCGGTGCGGGGCCCGTTTCAGGGTCCTTTGCCGCTGTCTTTGCCGTGCTTTTGGCGGGTGCTTTTGCTGGTGTCTTCGCTGGCGCTTTTGCCTTTGGTGTTGCAGTCTTTGGTGCAACCGTCTTTGGCTTTTTGCCTTTCGCGTTACTTTCGTCGTCGTTTGCTTTTCTTTTGGCACCCGCTGCAGTCGGTTTCTTTGTCTCAGTCTTCACAGGTGTCGCTTGCACTGCAGGTTTGCTCGCCGCACCCTTCTTCGCCTCGCGATCGTTCTTTGTCCATTCCTTCCTCAATTTGGTCTCAAGTTTGCTCACACTTGTCGGCACTTCGAGGTTACCTGCATTAACAGCGTCAAACAATCGCATGCGCGCGACAGACTTGGTCTTGGATGGTGGAAGGCCGTAGTGAATGAGTTGGGCCTCAAACCAGTGCGCAGGGTGATCTTTGTCGTTGCCAGAGGTAAAATGCTCCTTGAGCTCGGTCGCTGTGGCACGTCGATGACGGTTCTGGCCAGAAGATTGGGCGAAAAATACACCGTCGGCGAATGCGAAGCCGTCTTCAGCGACGGGAGGAGCTCCGAGCCATGCGCTGGCCGCAGATGCCTTGGACATAGTGTTGGAAGTGGTTTGTGGCTCAAGTTGTGATTTGTTCGCTGGTTGACAGTTGGTTTAATGAGGCCTGACAAGCGAGAGCTGATGCTATCGCCAGTGCCTCACGTGCCATGTTTTATGCCATCCACTAATGCATGCTTATGTTTGCACTGCCTTATGCTGCAGGTCATTCACGTTTCCTTATACAATTACAGCCTACAGCCGTGGCAAGCACTGTCAGTCCTAATATTTCCAGCCAACGAGTTAGCAACCTGCTGGAACAGATGAACCATTATGAGAAAGTCAAATTGACTTGAACTTGTGCAAACAAATAATCTATGTTCTACCACAATCTATCATCAAATCAAATACAATCTATATGCTAGTTTTCCGGATCTCGAGCCAAATACAAAGACGTCTATCAAAAGAAATGCTGCGATCCAAAGTCGACCAAGACCATGGTCCTTAGAACTCATCAGGAGCTCCCTCAAAGATCCCAAAACCCTTGTTCAGCAATTCATCATCCCGACGAAAGTTACAAGACTCCTTAACAGCATCCGTCCACATGTCTTTGCCGCCTTGTGTCTTAGAAGCCAGCTTCACACCCTTCGCAACAGTCCTAGCAGCTGTAGCAACAGGTCCAACACCAGGAATAGCATACGTGCTCGCAAAAACAGCCTCCTTCATGACATTAACCATAATTTCACACGTAATGCTTCCAATCTCTCTGAAGCCCTTGTCAAGACCCCTTGCTGTGAAATCAACGGTAGCTGTAGCGAGAAAGTCCGCAGCTGAAGTGTCGCATTGACACTTCCCGATTGCATAGCGTTCGCCGTCTGGGTTTGCGCCTAGCATGTCGTTTGTGAATTTGCTGGGATGCACGGTGGTGCAGATCTTGGTGCGGTCGTTTTTGCAGTAGACGCCACATGCCCACGCACCGTCGCGGGGAGATGGGTCGAGGTAGAAGAGGCAGAGGCCTTGTCTTGCGAATGCTCCGTTTTGGCGGTGGTAGTCATCCCAGGACTTGTCTTGGTTTTGACGCCTCGTGAGGGAGGAATCTTCATGAGTCGGTAGGGCAGCGCCAGTAACTAGAGGAACCAGAGTGGCGGCAAAGGTGAGAAGAGTGTTGAAGGCAACCATCTTGAGTGTTTGATGTTGAGTATGGAATGAATTGATAGTGAGTACTGTTTAGGAAGATGCTGTGATGGTTGCGAGTTTGAATGTTGATCTGATAGTTGCGGATGGTGATGAGAATGTAGTTCAACTCTCAGCCGTCTCTCTATTGTATTTTATAACTTTACATATTTTCATTTTGTTTATCCATAGGCGCAGTACTTGAGGCTGACATAGAGCTATCACTAAATCAGATGATGAGCTTACGGAAATTATCTTCTACCCTTGCGATCACATAAGGCGAGGTCCTCTGCCAAGGCCTAAGTGCTTAGTACTTGACTTCTCACTGCCCCGGAATCCTTGTCTCCAATTGGCTACAGAACGAAATCCATAAGAAAGATCCAGTTCTTTCTCTTGGCTTTTGAATTATCCTGGCCACATACAAGCGCGATTGGCTCATCAACTGTATATTTAGCTAGAATGAGCTTCTAATCTGAAATGTCTCCGATCGAGGCAGCGAAACCCTCATATAATACGGCTGTGCTTGTGGTTCTCCAAGGGTGATATAGCCGCTCTGACAAAGAATAAAAACCATATCTGGCAGGATATGTCTATTAATACTTCATAAGATGGCCCACGACTGAAAATGGAAGCAACTGTCCTGGATCTGCCACTCGCATAGTAGGGTAAAGGAACAATGGCGTCACCCACGTGGTGAATATGCAGAACCAGGTAAACCCAATTATCCACCGTAATGGCCTTGGTAGGGGCATGTGTACCGTTGCAGCCTGCACCGCATCCTCAAACATAATTGCTAGCGGCTGTAAGAGAAAATAAGTCTCCATTTCGTACCGCTCTCCGGCCTCAAGCCGGTAGAAGTAATGTATGCAGCGGTGCATAAGCCCAGAAGCGAAGAATGCCAATGTCAAGCGTAAATATCGTGACAACAGCGTACCGCGACGGAGCCGGAGAACCTTATCTGGAATGAAGTCCCCCCACCCGGTTAGAGCCTTGCGGAAAAGCCGATGCCAAAATGTCCTAAGATACATTTAGTACACGGTTACTATATCTATCAACAGGGTTTTTGACAGGTTCACTTACCCCCAGAATGTTCGGACAGTGGACCATGAACTTATTGGCCCGTTGAGGTGCGGCCAGTCCTCTGGCTTAGATAAACCAAGCAGAACAGATACAGCAGCTATTAAACCGTGGGCCAGTCGTACCGAAACATAGCCAATAACCCAATTCCCAAGGGCAGTAGCAAAGCGAAAGATTAGGTCTTCGCGAGTGAGGCTTGTTGGCTTGAACAGTGACTGCTTTTCTGTCGTGATCAAGTGCTTCTCTGGCCGCGGCGCGAGAAATATGGCATCCAAGACGAGATAACAGCAAAGACATTGGATAATCCTCGTTGTGATAAACCTAACAGAATTTATCGGGGCCCGGTGCTTCATCGAAACCTCCCCTCGCAAGCCAACACGTCGCAGGCTGAAATACATGCCCACGGCACGAAGAAACTGGGCGACAGTGCTTAAATGGCCTCCCAACTGCCTTTCCTTCACCGTGAAGACATCATCGGCATCGTAGCGCGATAGCAGAATCTGCTCAGTGGCATTGGCGTAGAGTCCCCAGCTGAACAGAGATATGCCTGTTACTTGTGCTGGAGGCAACGATGATGTCAAGAGGGACATGTAAAGGGAATGCTGCAGGCAGCTCAGGGCCACCGCTGCGCCGAGTCTGTTCAGGACTGCACTTTTCGGGATGAAGAGAATAGTGCTCGCGAAACAGACGAGGATGCTACAGGCGAGAACCACGATTTGAGACGTTGAGCTTTGCTCTGGGTGGTCCATCTCGTTGATTGGGATGAGGTGGCCACTCGAAACGCGTAGAAAGGATTGAACTTACTGAAGACTGGAAGTTGAAGAAGGAAAGATCATCATAACAAATAATGCTTGTGCGGATGGCGCGGTATATGAGCGAGATTCAACCCTGCATATTCGAGGTTTAAGGTTCAACAACTGCCGTGAGTCAATGCAGCCATCTCCATTGGGGCTAGCTGAACCAGGATTCAGCTGCTAGTGTCAGAGCACACAACAGTATGTCGTGTAAGGTCAATGGATTCGGGAGCCGTGGCCCCATGCAGTCAATCAAGGATGATGAAGGACAGCTCGAGCGTGTCTCTCTCTTAAGAAGTTACCGATAGCAATCCAGTCATTATCTCATATCTTGAAGTATGAGGTGCCCCATCCAGGGTGAGTTGCTGCACAAAACAAAGCAAAGCACCCATATATGGCGCTTTCAATTACCATAGTCTATTTCTCGTAACACATTATTCAGCCTCCAGTATCCTTCCGACCACATAGGCCCTCTAGCTGGAGCCTCGCCCCGCAGGATAGAAGCCACATCAACTTCCACCCCGTAAAAGTCCTCATTCGCCTTATCTCTCGTCGTGATGACAGTCCCATCAATCTGTGCTCCTACGTAAAAGCCCCTGCTCTTTACATAGCTCCATATAGGCTCGGCAGCGCCGTCGCTGCTGACGGCAGAATCAACATACACGCCAGTACCAACTGGCCCAGCGGTCACAGCGACCTCGCCCCCAAAGGAGACTCGCGGTTTGGTAAACGCAGCTGCGGCTTCCGGGGTCCGCAGAACACAGACGCAGTCGTATATGTCCATAGCAACCATGAAGCCAACGCTGAGGGTGTTGACGGCGAAGGAGGATGGTGGCGACCATGATCCATCAGGCCGTCGTGCTACCACAACGCCTGAACCGCTACCCCAGGAAAATTGCGCCCCAGACCGAAATGCGGTGAAGATGGCGAGACCTGCAGCTGACTTGAGGACTTGTCGGGGAATTTTGACTATCGCCTTTCGTTTTGATAATGGGTCGTTTGGCGGAAGTGGCGTTCCTTCTGTAGATAATGTTAGTCTATCTCTTACAATACCTCTCGTGCACCATCGACACGTACCGCAGAATGAGGTCAGGATTCGTGCTGCTTTGTCGCATTCTTTATCTAGAGTTGTAGGCATAAATGCCTCGCATCCGAGCTTGTTTGCGAAGTCATTCACGGGGCCAGCAATCTTGGCGCTGAGAACGTGAAGACGATTGGCAAAGCCTGACTTTCGGGTTATTTGCATCCCTGTGGAGTGTTCTTGGGTGGATGAACTACTGGCGGAATATGCTGGTGGTGGGGGGAAGTAAGGATTCTTGAAGTCGTATCCTGTAGGGCGAGTATTGATGGCTTCATTAGCGGGAAGCTCGAACAAGTTATTATGGTTGGATCCCATGACTGCCATTGGATCGTCAAGAGGGAGTGCAAAGTTATTGAATGAGTTCCGGAATCCGTCTTACGAGAAAATGCTTGGCTCTGTACTATTGAGTCTGCTCATTTCATGCTATAAGTTCTCATCCACGATAGGGAACTGCAATGAAGTTAAATATTCAAGTCAGTTGAAGTCGTGTCTGATACAGTCCCATTCATTGGTAGTATAGTAAATCATCGGGCGCCGCGGGGCTCTCCCGAAGCCTGTGCGAGGCTGTACATGGTAGGAGTTTTGGGTGTCCGAGGTTCCGAACGGCCATATAAGGTATGAGCCACTGTACTGAGTAGCAGCGCTACATTAGAAAGAGTGAAAATGACATGGCCTACCCATTCATTTACCCTGAAACCTTGAGAACGATGCTACTGTCCGCAAGCGGAATGTGCAGGGCAGTTGGCCACGTCTGGGATGCCCGCGGGGTCCGAACGACCAGGCAGACCCCAACAACGTACAGGGATCGTGACATGGAATGGCTTATTAGGGTAAGTTACTGGGCTAATCTCAACTCATATTCCAACGGAAGATATAATCTGATCGGCCCAGCTGTATAGTATGTCAAAAGCCAGTGATCCATGGTACTGGGGGTTGTCTGCTTTTTTTTCTCCACCCAAGCTCTTATGAGTTGGTTTATGTCCGCCGGTCCCGGGACTGAAGTATTGGGTTTCAACACCACAACTTCCACAAAGGGCTCGAGTCCACTCGACAGGTATGACCCTAGTAATCCGTACCTGAGCAATAGATATAGTCATGTTCCCTGGTGAAGTAAAAATAAGCGAAGTGGCTTACGCTAATTACCTCTAAACACTTCAGGCTCTTTATTCCAGTCAAGAGATTGGTCGGAATTATCACAGAACGCTTATTCCAAAAGTCAAAGTCAACCTATTAGCTGACCTAAGTAGAGAATAATAGCGAGAAAGACTTTAGTCCTAAAAATAATTCTTTCTTGTCCCTTTTTGCCAATGTCAAAGGTTACTTGTTCCGTCTCGATTCGGTGGGCTAATCCAGCTCATATCCGCACCGTCACGGAGTGGCGCCTGCGGCTGAAGAATAATAAGACTCAACAAGCCATAGTACACAGATAATAGGATCTAGGGTCGCTAGCTTAGGGGCCTAGATCTCACAAGGCTGAAAAGGTGGTGAAGCCCCTTGCTAGCAGCTGAGTCTACTTTAAGCTTATAAAACCTGGAACATCGCCAACTAAACGTCTTGCAACTTCACACATCATTGTACCAACACACCCTCTCAACATGAAGATTAGCTTTGTCCCACTCGCTCTCGTCGCTGCCCTGGCTGGCTTTGGAGAGGCGCGAAACTGCACCCCTAAGCTTGACCACTGCGGCCACTTCCTCCTCGATATTGGTGAGTCTCTCTGTTTCCGATCTATCAAGCTAGGGTATCTCTGACAGGTCTCTCCCATAGGCAAATACTACACCACCATCTCTGACGAGCTTACCCGCGCGACCAAAGCTACGTGTTTCAAGAAGAATCAGATCAATGATGCCCTCTTCTCGTGCGGCCCCAATGGAACTATCAAGTTCAAGAAGTACTGCAAGAATGGATGTCAGGTCGGAGCTATGGGAAAGCATGATTACTGCTGGACTTAGATTGGAGGCTGAATATCAGACCAGGTCGTCTAAAGTAGAGTAGAAGTCGAGGGCAACGAAAGGGGTAGTAGTGATGCATGATTGATGGCTTAGATGTTTAGCTCCATTAATCAATCCCTTCCTAATCAACTGGTCCCAAAGGTCAGTCGTCGAGCTGTTCACCAGCTGATATTATGAGTTCTTCAGTGAGAGCCTAAACCGGAGACTCAGCAAACATGCACTTCGGCTAAGCTACCTAAATAGCAACATAACTTATCAATACAGTCTTTATCGATATGGTCTAATGATCCATCATACTAGGGTATGAAATGCTTTACAAGCCCAGAAAGAGTCCCTCGGAACTAATTCCAGGTACTCGATATAGTGACGACAGCGCAGGTGAGCTTCCCGAGCATGAGAGGTAAGCTGCATTGAATTCCTTGCATTTCTACGGCTGCGAGTAACTTCCCCATAACAGGTCGGCTTAATCAACAGTGGAATTGTTTACTCACTCCTTATACAAGACATGTCCTCTGTAGTTTCCTTCTTCATCATGGTAGATATGGACAGCCTGAGATCTGTTCATCTCAGCTTGACTATCGGTTAACAGCAGCACTGTCACACGCGGCGTTGGACCCGAATGGCTTGTGTGAGACGGGTTCTGTTTTCGTGTAAGTGTTGGTTCGTCAAGTGCCATCACTGTGCTGGCCTCTTACTTCGTTGACTGTAGGCGCCAGCGCAAGGCCAAGACCTGCACTGCATAGGGCACGGCGCAAAATTTCTTGTTACGAGAAAAGAACCCGTTGTTTCAGCGAGACCCAATATCTCAATTCTAGTTATAAGCTCGGTGGAGAGGATTACAACGAAGCCGAGTTCATCGACCGCCAACTAGCGTCACGTGCCTCCAGGCTCCACGATTGTGAACATGAGCGCCTAATCCTTTTTCATGTTTAAAGCTGCAAACCACGGCTCGCAAACGCCATGATAAAGCCAAGTTCTCTGATGCCATTTTCCCAGAGACCTGTGGCGCGGTCAATAACTTCTCGTTCCCTCAATCCATTCTATGAATTTCGTCGACACCAGTCCCAAATGCTAGCTCAAAGATATAGATGCAGCGTGGATGCAGAGCCGCTGCATCGCTACGAAGCTGGTGGCTACCACCCCCTGGCACTAGGCGATGTCTTAGAAGGTGGGCGATACAAAATTCTCCATAAGCTAGGCTGGGGTAGTTACTCTACTACATGGGCTGCAAAAGATCAGAAGTATGTCTATCGCCTATGATTGCCTTGCAAACACTAACTTGAAACAGAGATGACCTTTATGTTGCCCTCAAGGTGACAATATCCGAGGCAAAAGAGAGCAGGGAGCTTAAAGTGTTGCAAGCTCTGTCCTCTCAGCCTAACAATCACCCTGGATGGCATTATGTGAACAAAATGTTAGATCACTTTACCATTCTTGGCCCCAACGGTTCACACGATTGCTTGGTCCTTGAACTTGTTGGTCCCAACGTTGCAGATGTCGTTGAAAGACATCTCAAGGATTCCAGGCTTCCTTCAAATGCCGCGAGATTGTTCTCCAAGCAGATACTTCAAGGGCTTGATTTCCTCTCTGCTAGTGACATTGGCCATGGCGGTAAGATGCCAATATCTTATATGCTTGTTTCTGATGTCGCTAAATTTCTACATAGATGTCCATACGAGAAATCTGGCTTTGACAACACCAGACTTACATTCACTTAGCGAGAAAGACTTTATGGCCAAGCTGGGTGAGCCCGACGAAGGGTTGGTTCTGGGACCTGATGACGCGCCTCTGCCAAAGAGTCTGCCAGCTCGAATCGTCCGACCTGCATCCTTTGGACACCGGGAGGTTCAGCGCATACTCGCTAAGCCATCGACCAAAATTATTGATTTCGGTGAAGCGTTTCTTAGTGACGATATATCAAGCACGTTAAATACTCCACTACCAGTGCGCGCTCCAGAAATTGTTTTCGGAGACAAGCCCGATCATCGTGTTGACCTTTGAAGCACTGGCTGTTTGGTAAGGGTATTTTGTAAGCTCAGTCATTACTCCACTAACGGGCGCAGATATTTGAACTCATTACTGGCCAGCCACCCTTTGATGTCATAATGTTGACTCCCCCAATTCTCGTTGAGCAAATGATTGAGCTCATCGATGATGAATTGCCGTCAAGATGGCAAGCCAAATGGCAAGCAATGCAAGGAACGCCAACTCAACCGGATGATGATGGTATGAAACTTCACAGTTGGTTGGAGGAGGTTTATTTCGATTCCAATAAGAAGCCAGAGTTCACGAAATACGATATCAAGCGAGCGGCAGAGCTGATTGCTCGTCTAATGAGATTCGAGCCATCGCTACGAGCTACACCAAATAAGATTCTTGCTGAATCTTGGCTTTAATGAAGACTCCAGAACCATAAAATATTTTATTGGATCACATAAATATTGATCACTTGAACTAGGCATTCTATACAGGGTCATGTGATCAGTATGTCGTTAAAGCAGCTGCCAATTTCCAGTTGATTCTGTCGATGCTCCAGGTTAAGTAGATTTTACAGTGACAATCGGATGATGCGGCACAACTAATCCCTGTCTGCCCAGCCCGCACCCGATATTTTTAGACCCTCGCCCAGAGTCACCCAAAAATAAGGTTGCAGCTCAAATAACGGATCAGAAGCTTGGCAGAATGCTTAAACTGACCAAGATTCATCGATAGAATCGTTTCATCTGTAATTCATGACGCTGATTCAGCTGGTCTAGGGGCAAGTGAACAGGATATTCACCCCTGTCAGACCTGACAGCGAAGCACAAATGACGTCAGGGCGTGGTCTAGAGCGTAGGTCTAGGTCCTGCATCAGAGTTGGACTGGACCTCAAACTGTCGGGCCATTTACCTCGCAAACCCCGCAGAGCTTCACCTCCAGCGGCATCGTCATCATTATTTATACGACATCTCGCGCTCATCCTTTTGACCGTTTTCTTCCTTTCTTCTCATTTCACCCGCCAAGATGGATAACATGGCTTCTCTCAAAGATACTCTTACCGCCTCTGGAGGCGCGGAATCTGCCGGTACCTACTCCCCTCTCCCCAAACGCTCATGACGTCTCGAATTATCCCGCTGACTTTCTCTAGGATTCCTTAACGACATCGTCGCCCAGCTGTGGCCCAACATCAACGTCGCAGGCGGCAAGATCATCAAAGATGTCGTCGAACCCATGCTTGACCAGATGCTGCCAGGTCCTCTAGCGAACCTCCGCTTCGTCAAGCTGGACTTTGGACCTACACCCATCAGATTCTCAAATGTTGACGTGCATAAGACCGAACTCGAGGGCATCAAACTTGATATGGACTTGGATTGGGATGGCAAGTGCGATTTCGAGCTTGACGCGTCGATGGTGCCCAAGATTGTAAGCTCCGTCATTGCTGGCCTCAATATTATGCGTTGCTGATTATTGGTGTTGCAGGGTATCGAACATGTGAAGATGAAGGGACGACTCTCCATTTTGCTTTGTCCTTTGACAAACGTTATTCCACTGGTATGAACCACCAACTTCGATACAATATTCGACACTGACGTGATCCACAGATCGGAGCTGCTCAAGTGGCTTTCATTAACCCCCCAGAGCTGTCCCTCGACTTCACTGACGCCGCCAACATCGCTGATTTCTCCTTGATTGACAAGACCGTCCGCAAGGTCATTCTCAACATCATCTCTTCCATGGCCGTCCTCCCCAACCGCTTCCTCGTCAAGCTCGACTCCTCCAACGACTACTTCAAGACCTTCCAGCCCCACCACGGTGTTCTTCGCCTCACCGTCGATAATGCAACTGAGATTACTGGCGAAAAGAAGAGCGGCGCCAAGAGACTTCTTCAGAAGCTTGTCAAGGATATTCCCGACTGCTACTGTGATGTCAACGTCGGTGCTGAGGGAGAGTGGCGAACTTCTACTATTAAGAATAAACACGACCCCCAGTGGAACGAGACTCACGACTTCCTTGTTACAGATTACGAGCAGCGCATCACTATCGATGTGAACGATGAAGATCTTGGTGGTGATGACGATATTGGTATTGCTACGACAACTGTCAAGCAACTTCTCTTAAACGGCGGAAGCCAAACCCTCACCCTGTCTCACAAGGGCCAGCCCCTCGAGACCAAGGTGACTATCCACGGCAAGTTCTTCAACTTTGTCGGTGAGTCCAACAGCATTTCCGCCAGCAGCCAAAACGAGGGCGAAATCTGCGGTCTTGCCACAGTCCTTATCGCCAGCGTCAATGGCCTCAACGGCCAGCGCGACGAGCTCAAGCCCAGCGTCAAGGTCACATGGGGCGACAAGGAATTCGTCACTCCCGTCAAGAGCTACAGCCCCGGAACGGATATATTCAACCCATCCTTCGACACAGCATTCCGATTCCCTATCACCGCGGGACAGCTTTCTAACCCGCACAGCTTCAAGCTTAGCTTGCAGAATGGTACGAACGAGCAGGGCTCGGTCGATATTCCTTTTGATAGTGTGACTGGTGCTGATGGCATGAACCGTGAGGAGGAGTTTGATGTTGGATCTGGTGCTACTGTTCGAGCTCGCTTTTCTATCCGTGGATTGCAGCTCGCTGAATGATTGGGGACGAGAAATATGGGCTATGTCCTTAAAGCGCAATGCGATACGCATAAAATAGTATGAATTAGCAATCAATAACCTGTTTTCTTCCACCATCGGCTTCTGTAAAAAACTAAGGTGAGGAGGGCTCATACGTAGCACCCCTCCTCAGGAATGCCCCAGAGGCAGTACCTGGGTGACCTCGCAAGTTGATGTTACGAATCTTAATTCAACCCTAATTGATACACAAATTGAGTAAATTTCTAGTAGAATTCGAGCAACCTTACCTGATGTCATGTTAGTATATACTGGTCACATTTATAATCGGGTAAATGCAAGCCGACTATAATTTTTGAAAGGCCTTTTAATAAAAGTCTTAAACCTTGAATGGCTTTAGGCGACTTCTACTTAAATCCTAGTCAAACCAAAATCCGAATTGCTACCTAAAGGAGTGGAGTCTGGCTATTTAATGACACTCTGAAGCCAGGATAAATCTCAAACCAACAACTAACACGACCCTGAGTCTCATGACTTTCGTCCACGTCCTTCAGAAACCACAGGTTTCTTGACGACCAAACTTTCAATATCTTGTCGAGATATCATTAGCTCTGGCTATCCATCAATGTTGCCAGAAGCTGAAATTGGCCAAGAAGATCGGTTGAACCTCCGAGACCGGAGGGAACACTGTCTCCGATCTTCTCGTGATCTGCATCATGCGGGATCCCATAACCACGCACAGGCTCTCGCATAGTCTCATCAAAGCTCTCAAGGTCTTTGACCTGTAACTCGAGGAGCTTGGCAGTTGCCTCCAGTGTAATGTCGATGCCCATTTTGGCTAGTTTAGTGGCATATTCTTCAGCGCCACGGTTGCGGAGGTAGTCCCTGTATTGGGATATCCCGTTCGAGCTCGTTGAAGTGTTCAAGGTACTGAGAGATGTGGAGTTGGACTCATGGTCTAGAGACAACGGGAAGTACTAGTCAGACTCAAATTCAAGAAGAAAAGGAAAACGGAAAGAGAAGGTTGGGCCATAAAGTTCTTACAAGGTGATATGTTCTCCAGCTTCCGGTTGAAGTTTGGAAAAGCGATCCGATATAAATCGAACCATCGGTCTTCATCCGTTTCTTTCGACGACTTCCTCTTCATGGAGTGAAGTTGAGCTGCTTGGTCTCCACTCAACATGCCGTAGACTGCCGTTGGTCTCTTCTTGGAGCATGGCGGGTCTTGTTGTGCGTGAGCCTGGAGGAGCACATCGGTTTTGAAACCGGTGTAACATCGTAGGCAGATGCATTTCCCCCTGAATTCCTTTGGAAGATGACAGCGAAAAAGATGTTCTCTGTAAAGGTTAGCGTATCTTTTCCAAGCTGAAGTAAACTTTGCCGAGTTTAGAAGAACTGGGGTATACTAAAGGCAAGCTTGGCATACTTAAGGAACACTTAGGCATGCTTAAGTAGAGGTAAGTAAGTGAAATACACATACTTCACTTTGTTAACGTCAATCCATCCTGGACCTTCACAAGCTCGATGGTGAACGGAGACCAGTATACCGGCCTTGTGATAGGGGCACGCAAAACGAAGCTTCAGGCCAATCTGGGCTGCAGCGTCGCTGAGACTTTGGGTCGTAGCGTTGGTGTAATAGGTCGCATCCACTGTGCGATCGATTCGCTGCCTCGCATGCTGAGTGTGGACCTGGGATCGCGCAGTCGTTAGCGAATTACTCCTTGTTGCGTGAAAAGGAGTAGTGATATAGGAAAAGGCCTATTTATGTGTGAGTATAGTTGACTTCACACAATCTTCTACGTCAAAGGAAATGGCAATCCTACCATAACCACATCACTAGTGCCACGTGGCTCAGAATAAGCTGGATCACTTTCCAACTTGCTGCAAATCTGGGTCAAGGCGTCGAGAACATCCCAAGCTGACATTCTCTCGCTCGTGTTGACTTTGAGCATCCCTTCCAGGACTATATAGAGAATGTCATCGATGAAGAGGGATGACCGAGAGCTCTCGCGAAGGGATATGAGCAACTGTCGACGAGATGAGATTGTATCCGAAGATTAAGATGGTGTAGCGGACATACTCTGTGTACCTCAGGCTTGAGTTTCGCCGTCAGACCATCTCGCTTATCGTATTGCAATTGGAAGAAGGCATCTCGATTGGGGCTGTTGAATTCATCGAGTCGACTTTGGCATAGCTTCGAGATGCCATCTTTGCCGTAACAGAGCCAAGTTACTGCTTCCAAAAACACACAGCCGAGACTCCAGATATCGCAGGCCTGTGTAGCACCGCCCGCCGTGTCGATTTCCGGAGCTCGGTAGACTGGCGTGTGTTTGAGACCCTTCGGGATATCTCTATCTTCGGGAGTACAAAAGTATGAAGATCCGAAGTCTGAAAGAGCGAATCTTGGCCATACATTACTGTCATTGGATCCAAAGACGAGGATATTCTCTGGCTTGACATCGCCATGCCTTCCGTAAAAGTCTCTCGCTTGGCCTTTAAGTCCATGAATGCGGGATAAAGCATCTACAAGCCCTCTCATTTGCCCTCCCAGCCATTGGAGACTGCGCTTATCATTGCTTGGTCTAGGCTGGTTTCGCCAAAACATCGCGAGGTCTCCATCCGCATAAGGAAAGACAAAGTGATATTTGCCCTCCATCCTGTAAGTCGCAAGAAGAGGTGTAATATGAGGATGAGGGTTCTGAGCAAGGCTTAGTTGTTGATAAGCGTCTCGCTCACGAGCGTAGTCTTTGGAAGTCCCGTTGATTCTCTTGACCGCGAAGGCGAGATCCCTATCCAGTTGTCCATGGTCGGGAACGTGACTCGGGTGTATTCTCACTCGAAACACTTGCGACGACCCTCCGGATTTGATAGGCCCAGCATCTTCGAAGATGGACCTTGGCGAGGTTCCAAAGTCGTAGAAGGGCGGGCAAGTCCTTTTAGCGTCGGCAAAGATGATTCTATCATCCTTGCGGACCTGTGGAAGGATATGATTGGACGGCTCGAGAAAATCTTCAAAATACTGGAAATATTCTGTGTGCCCAAGATATACAAGAATAGAAAAGATACGAAGAAGGTCGTCCGAGCCATTCTTGTCGCGGTCAAGCAAGTTTGAAAAGTGTTTTTGGGCAAAGATTTTACTCAAGAGTTGATGACCTACCAAAGGGGGAACATCCTCAAGGAACGTCTCGGGATGAAGATATTGACCCAACTCTTTCTGCCAGTAGTCGTCGGGAGCGAATAGCCCCATTTTGGCCTCTATACCGCAGACTTGCAACTGCCAACAGCAACCACAGTTGAATGTTGCTTGATAGCACCCAGAGTTTGGTTGAGTTCTGCAAAATGGTCACTATGCCCGGATACAAAGAGAGGGATGGATGGGGTGCTGGCAAGTAAATGTACATACTGAATAACAGTAAAAGTCAGTGGACAAAGAGGTAGCAACGTTGTTTGTGCTGGGAAGGATGCAAAGATCGTGTTGCAGTGGGGTTTAGTTAAAAGGAGGATAAAGTTCATCCACTCCAGAGGGTTTTTATAAGAGAAAGAGAATAAAGATGCGAGGTTCCCCTCTGGGAAATGGCATCTGAGATAGAAGCAGGGTGGTTTAGCGCGTATGAGTTCTGCGCATCTGGGTGAATCTCGACACATCTTACTGGCTGAATGGTGTTGTGGCTTGGCCATTTTCAACCCCCATGCAGACTCACAAGTTATGTTCTATTCGTCATATCAGCGACCAATCATGTTGCTCTTGAGCCATCACATACACTGAGGCTGATTTTGGGTGGCGCAGAACAATCAGGCTTTCTGATTATGCACTTGCGAGATCAAACCAGCCTCTGGACCTTTCTTCATCAACATCTTTGCATCGCTATCAGCCGTGACATAGACACTTTTTAGAAAACAACAGACATTCAATACAAAGTCCTCTTCTACTCTCACATTCCAAGGGTGGATAGAAAAGGCCCCGTCAGCAGGGAGCCTTACGAGATTTTCCGAGAGGCGTGCCATGAGTTTCGAAATTCACTCACCGAGAAGGACAAAGCACTCTTCAAGGAATTTTCCGATGCAAAGTCAATGCTGACAATTATCAAGGAGGATGCTAAATCTCACCCTGTGCATTCCTCAACACTTACCAAATGCTGCAAAGGAATCAACAGCATTGCAAACCGCTTATCGCCGTTTTTCGATATCGCCGGTCTGTTCGTGTCTTCTCACCCTGAGTTTGTAGCCCTTGCAAGGGGATCTCTACGATTAGTCTTTATTGTGAGACTTGGATAACTTGCTGGCTCTGGACGGGAATCTGCTAATTGTCCGTGTTCTTCATTTAGGCTCTAATCACGCAAAGTTCTTGGAAAGGGTGTGCGATATGTTCGAAAGCATGAGCATGGTCTTGCCTGCGTACGAGGAATACGTATCAAAACTCCGTTCGCGGCTCACTGCAAATGGCCATGAATGCTGTACGCGTATCTTCAAAACTTTGGTATACATATATGCCGATCTCGTTCAATTCTGCTTCGAAATGTGCAAGTTGTTCACCAGGAAACGCTCGAGTATGTCTCCCTAACCCACGATTTAAAAATAAAAAAAATAAAAAAGACCATATTAAGTCAAGCAAACTCGCAGGGGCACTGATGCTTCACAGCTCGTTCGCATACTCCACGATCTGGAGGCCTTTTGACATCCGATATGAGGATCTCATACAGAGATAGACGGATCATCGAGAGATATTCGAGCTTGAAATGTCAGTCACAGCAAATATTCAGCAGCTTGAGATAGGCGATCGCGTGGAAGAGTTGCTCAAAAGAGTTGACGGTGACTGGGGAGCTAAAACGACATATACCAGGGATCTAAAAGATCTAGATATTGGTTGGTCACTATCAAAGACCTGGCGATGAACTGTTGACTCAATCCTTCTAGATTCTCTTCTCATAAGGCTCAAATCTTGGATTGATCCCCAACATGGGCATACGCATTTGAGAACTCCCAGCACAGGCGATCAGAAAGGACGACCGAGTGGTTTCTAAAGCACTACAGAGTATCACGTTGGTTATCGCAAGTCACTCCTGAACGGACACTTTCTGCTTTGTCAGTTCAAGGTAGGTCAATCAGCTGTATGTTCAGCTTTTCCAAATCTGATACCGTCGTAAGGCAAACCGGGTTACGGGAAAACCACACTATGTGCCACTCTTATTGAGCACATCCAAACCTGCTATACGAACTATCCATCACATGACTCAGTGGCAGTCGTATATTTCTTCTTCGACCGACAGCGACAAACGAACTCTTCAGCGATGGCAGCCCTTAGGGCTATGCCCACCCAGCTCTTGCATATCTTCCGAAAGGATGATGCGATTGTGGACATCATAACTCTACTATGGGATCAAAACAAATCGGGGCAAGTGACTGCATCTACTAGCGAGATCGTATCGGCCATTTGCCTGCTCTCATCTCGAGTTTCGAAGCTTTTCATGGCTATCGATGGGGCTGATGAGTGCCAAGATCACGAAGGTCTTTTCGACTATCTCAAAGAGATATCCCAATATTCAAACTCTGTTTCCGTTGCATTCTTCAGTCGTCCTACACTGGCCATCCTCCAAGATTTGAAGTTCCATGCTTCAACTTCTTGATCTTACCTCGACAATGAACTTTGAATCACTTCAGACATTCTTGCGGCCCAAGATCCAACGGCTAGCTCGAGATGGAGTGATATCTTCGGAGGATAATGGAGATCAGATCGTGACACTACTAGCCAGGAGAGCCAACGGGATGTCCTTGTGGGCTCAGCTTCTGGTAGAGTACCTCCTATCACCCAACCTCTCTATAAGACAACGCCGCGAAGCCCTCAAGGATCTTAATCGACTCCAGGGACTTGATGCACTCTACCAGGAGATACTACGATCCATCGAGCAAAGCACTTGGCAAGCGGCGCGGTTGAACATCACTAGGGCTTTTCAATTCATCTCATATGCTCCCCGACCTCTGCATATCAATGAGTTAGAGGTCGCGATCACAACACCACTATCAAGTGCCGTGGACAAATACGGCACATTCCCAAATTTTGAGAAGGCCCTGTCACAAATGTCCGGGGCACTCATTGAGCTTGATTTAGAGAGGAAAGCGAGATTCGTTCACTTTTCGGTTCTTGAGTATTTGACCGATCGATCTCGTCAAGACCAGTCTCAAGAATCGGTGTCAAACCTCGTCAAGGAGCAGTCCCTAGCGCAACGATCGTGTGCATCCTGTTGTCTAGCATATCTGCTTTATAGCATACCAGCGGAGCCCTTAGGTGGCGGCCCACAAGTCGTTGCGGACCGTGACTTGCAGAAGATTCGATATCCTTTCTTTGAATATTCTGCGCAGTATTGGGATTTCCATTTCTCTGAATTTCTTCTCGAACTGCCACCGGTGTTGTCACAGGAGTGCGAGTTTTCTATCAAGCTCGCTTCTGACTTTGCTTCGGCCAAGAGAGCCCTCATGGTATGAATCGAAGGATGCTGTGTCTTTGGGGAAGTCCCTCGAATCTTCTCAAACTGGCCACAACGAATTGATGGCTCCCCATCTGCTGTCAAGATTCCCATTTCTATGCCGGAACAGGCAGTAACTAACTTGAAAGAAGTGGTCAAGAGGTTGCATCAGTTGTCTTTGGAGCTGGCAGACCTTAAACAGGAATGCCAAGACGTCCTCCTAGAGTTACCGTACGAGATCTGGGAACCCAGCATTGCAGTATTCCACAACACGGCATTATGGGAATCAACTCCTGGTTCTAAGATTCTGGCTTGCTTAAGCGACAGCGAAAGTGGTATTATTGATCCTTTTTGCCTCAAATCACTCATCAGTCCAGATGGCAAACGTCTCGGAATCATAAGGCTCTCCAGAGGTTCACGGCAAGCATTTGCTGACACGAATACTGAGCATTCACTGACAAAACCTGAAGAGTTCGTCGAGATGTTATAGACTGGATGATTACATTTGAAGAATGGTCCGTTAATCCTTTTGAAAAGAACTTCGAAGCAGACATCGCCCTTCCGAATTTGTCTCTGGGTCCATTTATCGAGTCGATGAAATGTATAGATAAAGGCAATGACCACAGGTTGCTCTTCGAGCTCCCTCTAGCAATCGTGCCTGATTTGAGCCGCATCGTAGCTCCTGGGTTTGTTGCAACTATTAATAGACACTCAGAATCCGTGTTAGCAAAGAAGAAGTCACCACATATCCAGCTACTCAATTTCACCTTGACGCCAGAGCCCAAGGGCAACTTTCCGTTCGGATTCCGAGTCCGTCAACTTAAAGATACCTATGCTCTGTTTATATCCGACTTGAGCGAGTTCATCATGACCATTCATCAGTCGAGGGAACTTGTCGATATCTCCGAAACGTGAGGCAGTAAACTTTGGGCAGCGACCGTATACAAGGATCACCGGAAGGGCTCGGATATGCCATCGAATTATCGCTATTTGACCTCACTTGCGTTCAAGCCCTGCGATTGTGGTTTAGCATCGACCGAGCAGTTAATACTGCTGCATCCCTTTCTCCCTCTTTCAGCAATCTTACAGCATGGCCCTCTGTTGAAACGCGAGCCTGACGGAAGTGTTACAATCCATGAGTTTTCACGCGATGTCGTCTTGTGGGGATTTTCTGCCACAGGTTTGTCACTCGAACGGCCACTTTTACCGCTCCTGACTTGCTGATCTAGGCAACGACGTTCTGGAAAATATTGAGAGATAACATACAAGAATTGAACTCCAAGAAGATGGAGCGTTCTTTTACGTCAAGAGGCTTCTACCTCATGGCCCAACGCAAAAGCACGGTATAGTCAAGACAAGGGAAGAAATCCAGAGACGAGCATTTAATCTGACCATGGCCACTACGATTAACTCGTTTGTGCAGAGATTGGATACCACAAAGAGAGCAACAGATGCCTCTGGGGTTCAAATTCTTTCTTCACTCCAGAAAGCAGGCGCCGGTGCAGTTATAAGACAGACGCTACGAGAGGATGGTTTTATGGTGTGTCAGGAAATTACCAAGTTGCCAAAGAGTCTTTACAACATTGCGGATCCGACGACCATACCCCAGGAACGGAATGTGGTACAGGTTGTAGTCAACCGATCAAGTCGTGTTTTTGAACCTTATGAAGTCCATATTGGCCAAAGAAACTCCGCAGGCGGGGCTTCCAGCGCACATTTACCTTTAGTTATCGAGCGGCAGGAAGAGACTATACCAACTTATATAGGCACCGGATCTTACTCGCTTGAGAGCGGTATGAGGTTTCAGGGTGAGAAGCGTGGGCTAGAATGTCAAGATGATGAAGCAAAGGGAAATAAACGGCGGGCTATAATCTGACCATGATGCTCCTTGTACATTGAATAATTTACATATTGGATATACCAAACTACTATAAACTACAAACGGAAAAAACGTTACAGTAGGTTAAAGGTCAATTAAATCAATGAGCAATGAAAACGAACTCGGTTACATGGGCAAGGCTGAGTGCAGTTTGGGGATACTATCTGGAAAGCGCTGCACCAGGACATCGTGAAAAACCGCTCCGCAAAGATCCAGCAGAGCCTCGGCATCACCGGAAGCACCGGTAATATCGGAATTAGTGTAGAAGTGAAGGATGTATGCTTTTGCATGAGCTGAAGTCGCGCCGCCTTGGCATTATATCTTCATTGGTGAGGCTTGTCATTGCCACCCTGCCCTTGTTATCTAAACCCTTGAAAGTCCATATAGCTCACTAATCTAACGGAATTTTCCCGCCCATGGCATGTGTTTTGTTAACTTTAACTATAACCACCGAGTTCTTTTTTCGGTTCTGGTTGCCAGAGATGTTGCTTGGCGTGTTACATGTAGCGGAATTTAAACCCAGGAGACATCAGACCACCATTTGAGGACCCCAAGCATAAAGACAAGGTCAATGCCCTCTATGGAGCTTTGAATTCTCTAATTTCTTCGCCAGGTCCTCGCAACTGTCTCACAACGCTGCATTTCATCATGGCTATTCAGCGTCCAGTAGCTAGAGATGATCAGTTCCAGGCCTATGCTATCGGCCACCAATTTCGCCGCGACGTAACGCCTGAAGAATGCTATCAATGCGGTACACCATATCCATAGACTTGGGGTTCCGTCCAGATAACTGACACTTCACAGAGTCTGCTTATCAATATGTACGACAAATGCAACGAAACGAAAAGCTTTGCGCAGGTGATGCCTTCTTCGACTTATATTCAATCTGTGTAGGATGCATCGAAGATAACATCATCACGGGAAGCCCGAGAGACTATGTTCAACGAAACTTGGGTCGATACGTCGACTATTGTGCCCAGTTCACTTCGCTCACTAAATGGGCTTCCATGGGAGCTACATCGACAACTTCGGCCACCGCTTCAGCTAAGGAAACAAACGGTGGAGGCGCGGATGAAACGAGCATTACAGGCAGAACTAGAAAGCCACTAGAGACATCAATACCAGCTTCTACTGCCAACAGTGAGTGTGTACGACCTCAAGTTGATTAGTAAAGCTCATACGATGTAGCTATCCCACATATGACAACGGAAATCACCCAATCTGTAGAGTCAGCCAGTTCGTCAAATATCTCTAAGGAGGGTAGTAAGTAAGAAAGATCCATCTGTCTTTTCAAGACATACTGATATCCAGCAAGGCTCAGGCTCCAACAAGGCATGGATTGCTGGAGCTGTTGTCCCCTCTGTTCTTGTCGTAGCCCTGGCTGTTGGGTTTGCGATCTGGTGGCGGAAGCGGCGAGGTAGAACACCAAAGACTCCCAAAAGTCCTCACCTATACGATTTGGCGGGGGCAGCAGGTTTTGATAAACCGGAGCTAGATTCTCAGGGCATTCCGCGACCGGGAAGCAACGAAGAGCCTATAACGAGTAAAAGTACAGCTGTACACGATACTGCCATCTTTCCAGTACCTGCCGGGATGTCTGAAAATGGTTTGAACAGAGCAGAGCTTCAAGGTGAAGCAAAAAGCGGCACAGGACAAACCCATGGCTCTGGAGCTTACTACGAGCTTCCGGCTAATGGAACTACGGTGTATGAATTGTCTACGAAACTATCATAATCATGAGAAGGAGCATCATCAATTAGTTTCTGATATAATTCTTAAAGATATTAATCTGAATGCAGTTCGTCTCGAGGTTTTCCAAGTCAAGATTAAAAGTTTGTCGTGTGCCTCTCCCTCCGATACTATTCTATATAAATCGTCGATAACCACGCCCATAATCGATAGTACTATGCCAAGTTTCAAGGGCAGGATACGTCGCTCATATGAATCTGTATTTTCTAAGTCAAGCCTTTATCCCATCGTTCTCACCGCGAAGGATCGCAATCCTTCAGTCCAGGAACCTATTTTCCGCCATTGATGCACCTACGAGAGGGACTATCAACTAGAATAGGAAGCTCAAGTAGCAGATACAACGAGATGTTAAGATTAAATTCAGGTCAGTCTTGTCCTTCTGCTTCCTATCGGGTAGCTGACTTACGCGTTTCTGTTTCAAGCAGGGAATGTTAAATGAGGACATGGGCTCAGCCACTCGAGTAAATTAAAGGATCCATGTTTTTCAAGACAACAGAGCTAAAATTAGGAACAGATCTACCCGATGTGCTCAGGCGATCGACCAATGGAGTTGCATGTCGCAATTTGATTTTATCTGAGGTGATTTGAGACACCAAAGCACGAAATGAGACTTTGAACATCAAAGTCCTTTACATCCTTCCAGGCAGATTTACCTGGAGAAAAGACTTAAAGCAGTCAATCGCCGGTAAGTTTGACCATCAGTTACTAATTTCTCTCTGCTGATTTAACCTCTCAGCCACAAGTCTCAACTGCATCTACTACAGAAGATACTTTCCGAGCAACAAGTAAAATAACAATGGCGACAAAGGAAATGTAAGGCAATCTGTCATCGAGAACAGCGGAGAATTAACCTGGAATGCCTGCAGTAACGTTGATGTATTGGTCATTGGCGCTGGCCCAACTGGTCTTGGTGCAGCTAAACGTCTCCAACATTTGGTAGACCCTACCTCCTCAAGAGTCTAGGACTTGTACTAACCTTGCCTGCAGAATAGTGTCGATTGGCTCATTGTTGACTCCAACGAGACACCTGGTGGCCTTGCGTCAACCGACACAACCCCCGAGGGCTTTGTAAGTCTACCCCATCTGGAACCTAACATCTTGAATCTTACTCATCCAGCTCTTCGACGTTGGCGGGCATGTCATCTTCTCCCACTACAAGTACTTCGACGATGTCATCAATGAGGCTCTTCCCAAACCTGATGATTGGTACGAGCATCAACGTATCTCATATGTCCGCTATCAGGGTCTTTGGGTCCCATACCCTTTCCAGAACAACATCGCCGTCCTTCCCAAGGAAGAGCAGGCTCGTTGTCTTAGCGATCTCATTGAAGCAGCCATTCAAGCCCGCGCACGTTCGCCATCAGACAAACCCGCCAACTTTGATGAGTGGAATATTCGCAATGTCGGCGAGAGGCTGAATGAGATTTTTATGCGTCCTTATAACTTTAAGGTCTGGGCTGTTCCTACAACCAAGGTACTGTTTTTCCATAGCTCGTGCTAGGTCTTGGTTAACTTGTATAGATGAACTCAACTTGGGTTGGGGAACGTGTCGCGGCCCCTAACGTTAAGCTCGTGACCACCAACGCAATTCTGGGTAAGGCAGCTGGCGGATGGGGTCCGAATGCAACATTCCGCTTCCCTGCTCGTGGAGGAACGGGAGGGATCTGGACTGCTGTTGCTGATACGCTTGATCAAAGCAAGACTCGTTTTGGAGACCATGGAGCAGTTACAAAAGTTGACGCTGATGCTAAGACGGTCTTTCTGAAAGATGGTAAGCAGCTTGTCTCCTCGTACTAATATTTCTGCTGACAAAAAGACAGGAACCACAGTCAAATACGGGGCGCTCATCTCTACCATGGCTGTCGATCAGCTCGCAGAGACTATTGGTGATGAAAAACTTCAAAAGTCACTGAAGCCACTTTACTACTCCTCCACCAACGTGATTGGCGTTGGACTCCGTGGAAAGCGGCCCGAGCGTATCGGTGATAAATGCTGGGTAGGTGATCACAAAGAGCCTCGATATCTTGATGCTTATTGAGTGATAGCTCTATTTCCCGGAAGACAATGCCCCGTTCTACCGAGCTACCATCTTCTCCAACTACTCGCCCTACAACCAACCCGACGAAGATGTAAAGCTTGCTACCAAACAGCTCGCCAATGGCGACAAGCCTGCTTCATCAGAACCTGCTTGTGGTCCATACTGGTCAATCATGCTTGAAGTCTCTGAGTCCTCCTACAAGCCTGTGAACCAGGCAACTCTGCTCGAGGAGAGTATTAAGGGTCTGATCAACACCGATCTACTCAGACCCGAGGATGAAATTGTCAGCACGTATGTTCGCCGCTTCGATCACGGGTATCCAACCCCCACTCTTGAACGCGACGCTGCTCTGTCTGAGGCCTTGCCTTATTTATATGATAAGGATATTCTGTCTCGTGGTCGCTTTGGAGCCTGGAAGTATGAGGTTGGTAATCAGGATCATAGGTGAGCAACTCATTATCCCAACATTGCAGGATCAAGGAACTAACAGCTTGTCACAGTTTCATGCAAGGTGTCGAAGCAGTTGATAATATCATCTCTGGTGGTTTGGAATTGACGCTGTCGAACCCCGATTTTGTCAACACTCGGAAGAATACTGAGCGTCGTCTAGCTGGTATCAAGGGTGCTCGGAAGTAGAATTCTTGCTGGATAATCTACGTTTCTAGTATCGCCGGTAGAGAGACCTGTTTTACGGGGGCAAAGTGGCATTCAACTTCTCAGGGCCGAGGCTCTTCTCTTCTTACGCTTCTATCTTACAGATTATTATTTGGAAATACAAATTTCAACCATTTATCATCTATGCCCGAGTTATCGCCGGGCAATAGAAGCTCATGGTATAAACTTAAAACCTAGAACTTGTTTAAGCTATTATACGATTGGCCTTTGCGCTTTTAACCTTGGGTGCTAAATCGTTGTTTTTTTCTGATTCCAAGAAGCATAACCAGAATTAGATTCAGACCCGTAATGTACCCCTCCTGTGTGGTGGAAATAGTTTTAGCGGTGAGTTAGCATGAAGATCACCTCGTATGGCTTTTGTGCCAAGCATACCCCTGGGGTCCGTGAGCGCGACTGAGCGCCTTGCAGACACTTCACTATGGGGCCAATGAGCCTGAATCTCGTAAAGGATAAAGAGAGTAGATGATCTGAAGAACACATAAAAAGGAGCATTTCCCATGTCTCTACGCTAGAGAGAATATCATCCCTAGTCCTTGGTATTCTCTTCTCTTGTTACACACTAAAGCTTTGCAGTCGTTGTCACCCCGTCCAGAATGAAGCTCACGTCTATTCTTGCCCTCACCGGCGCAATTACCCCAGCTATCGCTGCTCCCGCCAAATCTGACAAGACTTGCTCGAATCCCGTAAAGAGAATTGAGTGGCGGGAACTAGATGCTACTGATCAGCAGGGCTATATCGATGCTGTTCTGTGCCTCAAGACTAAGCCCTCTCGCATGGGTCTCAGTTCCAGCTTGTACGATGACTTCCCTCACCTTCATTTCCAGCTCAACTCATGGAGTAAGTTTTATCCGCAGTATTAAGTCTAAGCTGTTACTGATAAAATGCAGTCCATGGTGGCTCTCCTTTCCTCCCTTGGCACCGATACTTTGGTGTAGTCCACGAGCGAGCTCTTCGTGACTGCGGCTATGAAGGCCCATACACGTGAGTACTATACAAGCCAATCGCCAAGCAACCTCTGACTGTGAACTGTTAGCTACTGGGACTGGACCAAAGACACGGAGGGACTCCGACTCTCGCCAGTGATGGCATCAAAGAACGGCTTCGGTGGCAACGGAGACGCTGAAAGCACCGAAATCAGTGCCTCAGGAAGTACTCTAAAGTGTGTAAGCGATGGTCCGTTTGCAAAGCTACGACCTGAGTACTTGGAGACTGAGCCCAGAGAGCTTACCGATGGGGGCCATTGTCTGCATCGTAACTTGCCTGAAGTTGACGAGCCTGATGCTTTCGCAACCATGGCCAAGGTCTTTGGTCCTGAAGGAGTTGAAGAAGTTCAAGCCTCTGGCAACTGGAGTCACTACGCCCAGACTCTTGAGGGAGGACCTCATGGTAGCATCCACGCTTGTCTCGGAGGGGAGATGAACCCCACCACTTCTCCCAATGGTCAGTGACTCCCATATACTCTTAGTTCGGCAACTGATATATAACAGAACCTCTCTTCTTCTTGCACCACGCGCAGATCGATCGTCTCTGGTGGTTGTGGCAGAAGGAGAACTCCACTAGACTCACTGAGTATAATGGACTTTACAAGAACATCAACCAGACTGAGCAGCACGAAGTCAGCCTGAAAGATATCTTAGTGATGGGCGGTATTGACGAGGACCTTACTGTTGGAGATGTCATGGATACCACTAAGGGTCCCTTGTGCTACACCTACTAGGCATACGACAATAGTCTCTGGGTGACACATCTGGCCACTCGTTCGTGTACCGAGGCTTCTTGGGCACAGTGGCCAAGCGCAAGCTTTCACGAGGGTCAAGTTTCTGAGAGGCCGACTCTCGAAGCGATAAATTCGCCAGGTTACAATATTTTCACGTCTCTGGGAGACTAATATTGAATGTATGATTATAGATATCGAAATAAGTCTACATGCTACGTAATCAGATATTAAGAAGGAAGTCATTATATGGCTTTTATTACTCACAATAAATCTAAACGCTGAGCGATATTCAGTTCAACTTCAAGACCGTGCTCCAAAATCACTTCCGCGACCATCTGAGCTGCCTTGACTATCATTTCCAATTCTGGTTCGTCTGATCTAGCTATACGAGCTGTAGAGGGACTTTGGAAAAGGAGAACCGCACGGGCCTCAAATGATGGCTGTTCTTACGCCTTGATTGGATGGATCACTTTGGGGTTGTCCTTGCTTGCAAGGAGAAGTTGTGGGTGATTAACATGTCTCAGGCCATTTCAAGTATACTTAATGGTCAGATTTTCTGAGTCTGCTTGCTCCCAAGCCAGGCAACTACACTGATTGGAATAAACACCCATGGCGCCATGAAGGACGGTCGGCGGTTATAACAGCCTTTTGAGGATGTTAATCCCGAGGCATCATCCACATTTCGGATTTATGCTCCAAAGTGAGGAAGGCGACTGGATAGAGACTAACTTGAGACGTGCTAGAGTGTTTCATGGACCTCGCTTACGGTGATCTCTTGGGATATTTTTAGAATCCCGACAAACTTTTATGCTCCTCAAGAACAAAGATAGCTCTTCCATCTTTGCGTTTCAATTCGCAGGACATTATATTAGCTGATATATCAAAGGCTCGTCTATCATCTTCAATTATCAATTAGTGTGTATAGAGCCTACAACTTATATAAGTGTAATCTATCGTGCTCTTGATATAAGTACTGCTTGAAGCATTCGACCTTGCAAAGTTTCCATCAACAAGACTCAGGTTAAGTAGCCTCTATTCCATGCTTCCTCGTCTCTCTGTTGCTCTGCTCCACCTTGTCATTCGTAATAGTTGGAAACTATCAGCTATCCAGATCTCGGACCGCCGGCACGCTCTTATACTCAAAGTTGACGTCGTTCCCAAGCTCAAAATCTTTTGCACTTCCATGAGGATCCCAAGCTTCTTCGTGTTTCCCCAGATGTTCTTTCAACCCTCCAAAGAAGTTTCTCAGGCAAAATATGGCGAATATCGTCGTCATGAATATGGATACGATACTCATGCCACCGAAGGCGGTGAAAGAGTCGATTGAACCCCCGGTTCTCTTCCTGGGGTCCAGTTGCGCACCTATCTCCAGGTAAAGCAAGTAGCCGAGCATTGCAAGATACATGGCTATGGAGCAACACATTCCGATGCGGTTCTCTGACTTGCTGAACATGATGGATGCGGAGATGACGGCGACTGCAACACCGAGAAGGGCAATGTTGATTATGAAGTGAGTGCCTCCGCTACGGATTCCTCCAAGAACGGGGAAGCAGAAAATAAGGACGAAGCAGACGACGAAGTAAATGTCCATTTTGGCGAGCATGACAAAGATCTGTACAACTAGGTTAGCCATTTCCCATCCTAGAGATGGCTATGTCGGTAAACTTACATGGTGGGTAATTCGAATCTTTCTCATCTTCGCATCTGCGCCGACGTTGCGATATGACTGCCATGAGAAGTGTTGCTTCAGATACCAAGCGCTTATAGGCAGAATCAAGGTGCAAACGGCGATAATGATAGGAATGATGAGCAGAATCTTGCCAATAACGGCCCAGATATCCATGTCCGTATTGACCAAATGGTCGCCATTACTGTCTGTTGAGGTCTTGAATGACTCGATAGCCTCCTTGATATCCCGTCGTTGGAAAATGGCCAGGGGTAAAAAGCCGGCGTTGATGACGCAAGCGAGCACTGCTTGGGCTGTACTCCTTAACCTGATGGCATCCCACATGAATAGCAGATGAAAGATGAAGCCAAAAATGAAGATGGCAAAATTAGTTGGGATGCTGTATCCTCGAGGGACTTGGATGACAGTTGGCCTGGCATATTCCTGCCATTGTACAAGGACAACGCTGCACGTTAGGTTAGGGTCAGCAGTGGAAAACAGCGCCAAAAGTTGGGGCCTTAGCCTTACCTCATCAGAAGTGTTACAGCGATGGCCTGAAATAGGCCAATGGATAGAAAGGCCGCTGCAGCTGGCGCTGTGTGTATCTTGTTGACGATAGCAGACATTGTGTCTGTGTCTGCGCAAGGAATCACTCAACCTCGTATCCAGTCAGTGTCAAAAATAAATTTATTGTGAATGGTTGTCCGGCATTGATGGGAATTTTAATTGCCGACCCTAGGCCTAGGCTCAGGGGCGCTCTCGGACCTTTACAGGGCCTAGCTTTAGGGGAGCGGGTCTGCCAAGCCTGCGAGATCCCGTATTTGCGGTATTGGACGAAACTCTGTGGAAGAATTATACTGGACTTGTGGGGAAGAACGTCAGCAGAATTTATCATGTTGCCCACTGTTCAGCCCAACGCTTTCCAGAATCTCGAATCGTGATGAATTGGGCGTCGATCTGTGTAGGGTTCTAGTTAGCGACAGCTCATCTCGACAGCCCTATCTTCAGCTGAGCGCCAATGAGAAGTGCATACCCAGCGCAGGGACCTTTGAGTCGCGTGAGCGGTAGGGAAATCATGTCTAATAAACTCCGTGGATCAATTGAGAACTGAGTGGGGATTGTTCGGCAATGGAAAAGGCCATCAAAACAGCGGAACGGCAACTCAACTGTGACACACTAGGCACTAGACACTAGACACTTGGCGGTTTAAACAGGGTCAAGCGACGTCTCTGTGACGTTGATCAAACGTATCTTGGAAATGTAAAATTTTAATTATTTCTATATGACTAACAATAACTCGCTGTTGCAATCCCTCACTCCGAGACTCTACCATGCAATCCTAGCCACGATGGACTTGGGATATTTCCTCACGATAAACTTCCTCATCTCATCAACCAGCAGAATACCAAGTCCGAGAGGAATAGGAATGAGCCAGAACTCAATTGGCACAGACTCAGTGTCGAAGAGGTTCTGAATACCGGGTACTTCGGTGACAAAGATGGCGATGCACAAACTGATGAGCATGCTGAGGATTAACCATGGGTTGCGATGAGCCTTGCTAAGAGGGCTAGCCTGGAAAATACTCAAGCGGCGGTTTCGCACGGCAAGAATGTTGCCCCATTGGAGGAACACGAGGGTGACGAAGTAGACACACTGTCCAGTGTTGTTGAACTTGGTAAGCTCAGCCGCGGTGTAGCCGCGATATCCCTCAGTGTAACCCTCAAAGAGGAAGAAGAGCTCTGAGACGGGCATCTTGGCATACTTCCACATGTAAAAGAAGAACATGGCGTGCGCGGTGATGGTCTCCATGAAACCGGTGAAGAGGTAGGCTTGGGTGTAGATCTTTCTGTTGATGAGATGATCGCGCTTATGGTTGCGGGGAGGAAGGGAGAGAAGATCGAACTCTTCCTTCTCCATGATGAGAGATAGACTGAGGAACAGATCGGTGAAGACACAAATGATGATCATGAGGAATGCGCTGAGGGGAAGGGGAACACCGAACCAGACATTGAGAATGACGGGCCAGATCTCGGACCAACTACCGGCGGGGAGGAGATATGAGATGACCTTCTGGAGGTTTTGGAAGACGAGACGACCGAGGCGCATGGCGTCGATGATGGAATCGAAGCGATCAAGGAGGACGAGGTCAGAAGCTTCAATGGCGACGTCGCTACCTGTCACAATAGCGACACCAACATCAGCGGCTCGAAGGGCGGGGGCATCATTAACACCATCGCCAGTGACAGCGACAACATTATCGCGCTCTCGAAGCTCAGTGACGATACGGAGCTTCTGCTCAGGTGTAGTTCGCGCAAAGACAATCTCCTCATAAGCACAGACAACATCCCAGTCCTCTTGACTCAATCGGCTGAGGTTGGCACCTTCAAGAAGCAAGCTGCGCTTGATGATCTCAGCGCGATCGCCCTTCCTGGCTTTACGCTTGGGCTTCTCACTCTCAGTGACCTGGTTTCCAGTGTAGAGGGTGTCAATGGTGTCGGGGTCCTGCTGGCAGGAGAAGATACCAGTGTTGCGAGCGATGGCAGCGGCTGTGAGGGCGTAGTCACCAGTGACCATGAAGAAACGAGTACCAGCGCGGCGACATTGCTCAACGGTGGCAGGAATCTCGGGGCGGTGAGGATCAATGATGCCCAGCATACCGACGACGGTGAGGTCTTGGATAGCAGAGTGGGTGATCTCGTCGCTAAAACTGTTTGTTCCGGCGACAGCGCGGGGGGTGATGAATTTCTCGCACAGGACGATGACGCGCTCGGCGCGACGCGATGCGTCATCTTGGATCTCTTGGAACTTGATGCGGGCGTCACGGGTGAGTGTCTCGACGGAGTTGGACTCAGAGGACCAGTACTTGGTGCATCCAGCAAGGAGGATATCGGGAGCACCCTTGATAATGACGCGGTAGGCACCGCGCTCATCATCGGATTGGAAGACGGTGAGCATCCATTTATTCTTAGAGTTGAAGGGGACCTCAAAGATACGAGGGACGGCCTTGCGGAAGCTATCGCCTGAAGGACCATAGGCAGCAAAGCGGAAGACAGCGCTGTCGGTGGCGTTGCCTTGGATGGTGCGCTCGTGGAGGGGGAGATGGTTGGTGGTAGGATCGAAGGATGCATCGTTGCAGAGAAGGGCAGCGCGTTGAAGAGCTGTAGCAGGCTCACTGACTTCCTTGCCATGAAGCAAGTGCTGGAACTCATCCGAAGAGTCAAATTGCTTGTCCACAAAGGCAACTGAGCTGACAAACATCTGGTTCTGTGTAAGAGTACCTGTCTTGTCGGAGCAGATGACGTTCACACAGCCGAGTGTCTCGACAGTCGACAAA